CTAGACGAAGGTATCTCCTTGAAATATCTTTTTCAAGGGTATCTTTCAGTTTTGATCGCGAATAAAAATTTACGGTTGCTAACTTTTACAATGTAAAAGTTTTTTTTTTGAGAAAGAGAGAGAGGAGAGAGAGAGAGAGAAAGAGAGAGAGAAATTGAACGAATGATCGAATGTAAAAAAAACTAAGAAATGGATTAACATTACGGATTAAGAGAAAAAAGTATGGATAAAAGCGTTAAAAAACAAAAAAGCAAAAAAAAACGAGAAAGAATGAAATGAAATAAGATCTTTTAATAACATCATTCTCCAAAAAGGAGTTTTTGTAGAGAATTGTTTTTTAAAAATTTGTGAAAAAGCGAAAAAATTCATTGAACAACTTTTGGATTTTTGCGTCTTTCATTTGAAAACAATTCTACTACAATATAGCGCTGTTCAAAACAGCGATCTATTAAAAAACATCGAACTACGTGCGTTAGGGTTTTCTTTCGAAGAAGGTTTTATATAGGCGAAGTATTAAATAAACAAATTAAATAATTAAGAAGAATGTAGGACTCTTACGGAATGTCGTGTGTGTGAGAGAGAGAGAGAGAGAACGAGTCGAGTTTTATTTTGTCGCTAAAAACGCACGTAGTTGTTGTTGACGATGTTGAAATTGTAATTTCGATAATCGTCTTGGAAAAAAAAACAAAAAAACAAAAAAAAAGATATATTTACAAATTTGAAAAAAAAATCGTAAAAAAAGTTAAATTGAAAAGAAGAAGTCGATATTAGAATCGCGGAAACATCTGATTTTATTATTTTTTGTTTTGTTTTTTGTTACTCGGTATGGAGAAATTGGCGTAAAAAAAGCAAAACAAAAAATTGCAGAAATTTTTGTAACAAATATAATTTTGTGATCGTACATTATTGGAAATTTTTTCAAAGTCACACGGGACAGAAGAGAAAATTTGTTCAAATATTAAAACAAAAAATTGTTGTTAACGAACCGTGTATAAAAACAAAAAAATAGAATTCTGATAACGACGACTTGAAAAAAAATGATAAAACCAATCAACAAACAAACAAACAAACAAACAAACAAACAAATATAAGTACATCGAATTTCGACCGGTAAAGAAATCGCAGCGCGAAATTATTTGTAATTCTCATATATACATATATAAATAAAAAAAATAAAATAAATAACGTGGCTATGTGTGCCTTAAAAAATTCTGATGGAGCAAAAAATAATTTAAACAAATGATCAATCCTATGGAGAAATTAAAAAATAAAAACAAGCAAAAAAATTAGAATCGACAAATAATTTCGCGTTGCTGTTGCTTGCTCACTCGTACAGGGAAAAAAGAAATGGAAACAAAGAAAAATGGCCGATTTGTATACTATAAACAAATATACAAGGTACATGCATACATGCATACATGCATACATGCATACATACATACATGCATACATACATACATACATGCATACATACATACATACATACATACATACATACATACATACATACATACATACATACATACATACATACATATATACATACATATATACATACATATATACATACATATATACATACATACATACATACATACATACATACATACATACATACATACATACATACATACATACATACATACATACATACATACATACATACATACATACATACATACAACATACGTAAACATAAACGTATACACACGTTACACGTGCATATGCCCGCAGGAAATGCTTTGTATTTTTAATTTTTCTTTTTTTTTTGGTTGATTGTTATTATTTCATACGCAAAACTTTTTCATTAAAAGTACCAATTCGGAAATATCACTGATAACTGATATAAAAAGTATATCGATGGTAATAACAATGATAATATGTACTGTTCTTCCTGGTAACACAAAAAAAAAAAAGAAAAATAACGTTTATTTCTTAAAATCAAACAAATAAATAAATAAAAATTGTAAAGGTGAGTTTTTTGAGCGTTATTCGCGTCCTTTGTTCATAAACGATATGTATTTGTGTAAGAAGGAATATGATTTGATTTTAATTTATGTTTGAAAAAAACGCCTAAAACTCACCTAATTAATTAACCGTTCATGATGATGATGATGATAATATGGTGAGAACAAACAAACAAAAAAGAAAGAAAAAAAAATAAACACAAGTATTATGTAACAAATTTGTTTTCGAAGAAAGGAACTAGCAACACAGGCAACCCGTTCCTTGATAATAAAAAACAAAAAAGAGATGAAAAGAAGTTCTGATCCAGTATTTTTAACCTTCATTTTATATATACGTGGTGTGTATGAGTTCGCGCGTGATTTAAAAAAAATAATTTGAAAGAGATGAAATTTTAAACCCCATTTATTATTATTTAAAAGATAATTATATGAATTTTTATTTGATATTATAAATGGAATAAATTTTTAACGATATATAGAACAAATAGAAAATCAATAGAATGATTTTATTTGATATTATTATTAGAAGGAACTTGGTAGAATTATTTGGAACGTAATTATAATGTTTCTTGTTAGATATTTCAGATATTATATTAACTTGTTAAGTATTTAATTAGAAAAATTGAGTCAACGATTATATAGGGACAATTTTTTTTAGAGTTATTTTTTTACATGATTTTTGAAGAAAAAGGCGTGTGCGTGTGCGTCGTATGTATCTGTCCTATCTCACTCTCGGAAACGATTAAATAGTCGTGTTCGTAAGCCTTCGTGGATTGTCGGTCGTTATCGTAAAAATGTCGGTACGAACGATCGGATCTGTGACGTGAAATACCGATAGCACTGTGCAAACTGTAATGCCGTTTCCATAATCGTCACGTAAAGACGACGAAGCTTTATTATACATATGTACTCAGATATGTATGTGTATATATATGTATGTGTATATATATATATATATATATATGCTTCTGTTAGCCAAATTTCGACTAGTTTCAAAACGTTCGATCGAATAATAATAATATCCTTATCCCGTCTAGACGATTGAATAATAAGTCTTATTTTAGTACTAACGATAAATACAATTATTCCACGAGTATATATATATGTATATATAAATTAAATTCTATCTAAATATTTATATCATTAGCATTAGATTATTTATTTTTGGAGGTTAGATATAAAAATTTTCACTTATTTTGCGATATTAATTAAAAATATCGGTCCAAGGATATTGATAGTTCTTTTTTTGAAATTGGCAATAAAAATTCTTATATTTGTTTTTATCAATACGTCAATGAATAATTTTTGACATATTAGTAGACGTTAAAAAATACGAATAATAAATTCTTATTTATATTGATTATCCTAACCTAACTTTTTATAGAATCGTTTGAGAAGAGGTTGACCTATACTACTTGTTTTTACGGTAAACTAAGAAAAGGGATATACGCGCGTTGTGTGTAGCCATACAGTGTAGCTAACGTACGCTAGAACGAACAATAGAATCGCGATAACATTGTCGAGGAAATTTCAAAGTTAAGAGAGTACGTCGCGGCAGATGCTCCTTTTCGAGTCCCTTTATCGATTTTATACGATCAGCAAGTCTGAGCCTATCGTAAAAGTTAGTATCTAAAAAGTGACACTAGTCTCTCTCTCCCTCCCTTCCGCCCTGTAAATATCTAGAAAATATATTCTTTTCGTGGATATCCAGAATTCTAATATTGTATTTCATATGTATATGCAGTGTATGAAAGATTTTCACTGAATGTCGTGATCAAAAAGAACAAGAGGAAAAAGAGGTATTCATTTTGAAAATTTTTCATTATGTTTCGTTCAAAGGTTAGAATGAAACTAACCTATCCTTTACCCGTTCATTCATATTAATATCTGAAACGTGTATATATAATAAACGTGTGTGTGTGTGTATAGTGTACTAACGTTTCCATTAAAATGTAATAATAAAACTAACCTATTCTTCACTCGTTCATTCATATTAATTCATGAAACGTATATATAAAGGGTGTACCCAAACGTTTTCATTAAAATTTAATAATAAAAGTAAACTACTTTTTACGAATTGATTCGAGAAATGTATACACAAGATGGACCAAAATGTTTTCATTAAAATGTAATAATAAAAGTAAATAATTTTTTACAAATTGATTTGTGAAACGTATATACTAGGTGTATCAAATGTTTTCATTAAAAGGTTATAACGAGGTTTCCCTATTCTTTACTCATAAATTCATATCAATTTTCTTAAACGTATATACAGGGTGTACAAAATATTTCCATAAAAAATTAATGACAAATCTAATCTATTTTTTACGTATCGCAAGAAAAAAATCGAAAAAAGGTTAGGATATCCCGTGTATACATATGGACACGTATATACGTGAGTAGAAGGATATAGATGGAAGTAATAGGAAGTAGTATAAGTCAACGACATCGTCGACTTTCGGAGTAAACCAGTCCTCTTCTCTTCTCTTTCCTCTCATCCCTCTCATCACTTTCAACGTCTGGCTGCTAGCCGTTCGTTCCTCCTCAGTCGTCGTCTATCGTAAATCGATAAAGGCGTTCGAAATCGTATTTCCGAGTAACACCGTTCGAATGTAAAGTTTCTCTCTTTCTCTCTCTCTCTCTCTCTCTCGTGTGCTTTTGGGACTTAATAAGTGTGCGCGCGCGTGCGAGAGAGATAGAGATAGGAGAGAGGAAAGGGGAGAAAACGTCTAGCTTGATAAGAAATAAGGAGAGAAAGTAATCGAGAAGGGTTGTGAGAGAAAATGCTACTCCAAGTACGAGAGCTTTCAAGCCAAAGCAACCGAAAGATAAACAACGAGGGTGCTTTTCTCTCTTCCCTGGACTAAACAAAATGTTACCTACAAATCTTTCATTTTACTTTTTTCTCTTTTGTTTATTTTTCTTTTTCCTTGTGCTTTCCAGCAGCTGATTTTCAAAAATATCGAAAGAACATCTTTCTTTTCTTATTCAAATTTTCCTGACCTATACATTGCTTCTTGTTTTTCCTTTTTT